TTTTTAAGCAATTGATATATTGAATTCAATCCCACGTAAAACTTATGGCGGACTAGGTGAAAATATCGAAGTAATGCTTCTAATAGAAATTTAATTATAATTATTTTTATATGACCTGATTATCAAATAATTTTACTATTAGGCATAAAATTTAAAATCTTACCTTATTGCCTCAGTAGTAATAACCTTGTTTAATAAGTTGCAGCATTTGTAATAACTTCCCGCTAATCATACGCACGTTATAGTTTTCTATAGCACGGGGACATAATACTACATCCACTGACCCTAAAGTTATCTGTTTCGAATACTTTAAAAAGAACAAGTACTTCATTTTAGTAAATTGTCCTGTATAAAAAAGTCGTACAAAAGAGATAGAAATGACCTTTATTTATAGAAATTGGCAAACATTTTAATCTAATAAATCAAAACTCAAATGTGATTTTTGTTGGTATAACCATATGGTATTCAGAGTCTACTTGCCAGATTAATTCACATTCACGTTGGATAGGGCCCAATTAAGGGGAAAATGCTTCTTACCACAAGCTTTTGTATTTCTAGGGCTCGTATTTGAGAGCTCTGGTTAAAGGTAGAGAAATCACATTCATCTCACCGCAACTATCGATTTGTCCGATATGATAGATTTGTAGTGTTTCTTCTAAGAAAAAAGAAAAATATTGATAACCTTTTAGCTTAATTAAAGAAAAGAAAACTCAAAAATATATAATAACCAAAAAAAAAAACTATACTAAACTAGCAATTTAAACACTATTTTATATAATGGCAGCTCAGATATTGCTGTCTGATTTGTTTCCTAGCTCCTTTTCTTCTAACCTTTAATTTTACACCTTTTTTTCTTCTCAAGTGCCATATCAGAGCTAGCCTGGAATTATATTCACTAGCAATTTGCTTCTTTGCTGTCTTAATTACTTTCAAAGTCTTATAGCGATGAAGAACAAGAAAGGCTTTTTTCCAAGAACCAACATTATCGAGGTACTAGTTAAGGATTTTCTTGTTCTTATTATACTAATGTCAGCCGTGTTTATACCGTCAGTGGAGGCGATTAAAGGTGGCGTAGGAGGAGGAGGACGAGGAGGAGGAGGAGGTTATCGGGGATTCACAGGGCGAAAAGCTGGTGGTGATCCTAAGAAACAATATTCAAGGGCTTCATCTTACACTAAGCTTGCTTCAAACACTCTCCTTATTCACCTCCTTGTCGCCTTTTTTTTATGTAAGTAAAGGCGAATTCACGATTTAGAGTCAGTATGTAGTTAATGTATTAAATGAATGTGATCTTGCTATATGCATCGGCAGATCTAGCAAGACTTTGTAGATTTAACTGAATACATTGCTTTCAGTTTGATGAATATACTAAGAAAACAATTTAAGATGTATACATAGAATAATTTTTGCTCGTACTGAATACAGTGACTCTAGATCTCAAATTCGTCTCTTATTATATGTATACATTTGAAAATTTTAATATGTAAATAAAATTTGAGTCGAAGGAAATAAATTCAGTTTAAATGTAAAGAATCCATCTTACTTCTGCCTATGGGTGTAAGGACATGTAATGATCTTTTGTTGTTATGTTATGCAATTAATTAGCGCACCTACTATACTTTCCCGAACCGGATAATTTCTATTCTCAAGTTTAACACAACACTTTTTTTTGTCTAGAGGTGGCAAATAAGTGGGTTGGTTAAACTTAAATGAGTCAAAGTAATAAGTGAGTCATGATTCAATCCAATCAAAGTTTGCTTGGGTCAAAACGAGTCAAATAACGAGTCTTTTAATCTAACACACTCAACATATATAATTCAACCTTTCCTCCTTTATTTTACTTTCTTTAAAACCTTTATGTTCATAGGTTACGAGTTCAGATCATAGATATGAAGTACTTGCATTTGTTAGGAAACACTATCCCTAATATGAGACTTTCTAGCACGAATCCGGATTTAATCGGACAGAATATCGGGTAGAAACAAAAAAACTGTTTAATTGCTTATTAAATTAAAAACCTTTCTTCAAATAAAGTACACCTGGACAATGAACATGGATTTAGACACAAAAGATCGATAAAAAGTTACAACATCAGCTTTTAGCTATATAGGGCTTCTTTCCAACGTATTAAAATTCAACCTTGCGTCAATTAACTTTAGAAAAACAAAAAAGTATACATATTCCTCGCAAATTCAAAAGGTGACATGTATATACAAGGTAGAATTCAATAAAAATAAATCCAATTTCAACCCTATCCTAACCCTAAAAAATCTAAACTAACTAACAAACTCCTCAAGAATAGGAGTAGTTATATATTGACTAGTAATATTAATAGAATATTTAGGTTATAAAAAGTAAATTCTAAAGCACATTTCTAGACCTCACTTTCTATTTCACTTCTTTCTTTCTTCGCATATCGATTAAAAAAGAAGTCATATAGAGATGAATAAGAATAGGGAAAGCTTGTTTAGGAGAACCAATGTTGTAGTAGTAGTTTTCATTGCTCTTACACTAGTATTAGAGCCCGTTTGACTAAGCTGATTTAGAGTAGCTGATAAGCATTAAGTGCTACTTTTAAGTGTTGAAGTTGATTTAAAAAATAAGCAGTTACGTGTTTGGATAAAAGTGCTGAAATTAATAATAAGCAGCTGAAGAAGTGGGTGTACGAAGAGTTTTGTTTGAAAAAGAATTATTTTAGGGATATAATAGTAAATATTTTGGTCAAACCTAAAGTACTTATAAGCTGAAATTTGATAAGTTGGGGGAGACCAACTTATGACTTTTGGCTTATTTTTGGCTTATAAGCATTTAACTTATAAGCACTTTTAATTTTACCAAACACATAGATAAGCCAAAAAGTGCTTATAAGCCAGTTTGACCAACTTATAAACTTAGCCAAACACCCTCTTAGCCCTACTTATACCTTTCGTAGCCGGAGAAGGAGAAGGAGATGTTGGAGGCGGAGGAGAAGGAGGAGGCGATGCAGGAGGAGAAGAAGGTGGATGACAAGCTATGAAAGGGACGGGAGGTGGGCATTCAAGTAGGGCTGGGCATATATCGGGTATAACCGATAGTCCGAACCGATAAAATGCTATTGGGTTATCGATATCGAATTATTAAGTAAATAGTTCAATAACGGTTTAATATTATTTGACTATTGGGTTATTGGTTCGGCTCTCGGTTTGCCCAATTTTATTAACGGTTTAACCGATAAATCAATAAGCTTTAACAAAATTACAATTTTACTCACTAAGTATATAAAGCCACCTTATTGCTTCATTCTCTCAATTCTCTCGGCAGTTACTCTTCATCTTCAGACCTTAATCCTTAGAGTAAGTTTTAAACTTTTCTGAATTTCTCATCTTAATTCTTCAGTTAAAATTTTTAGTTTTAAACTTTAACGAATTAATTGTTCAGATTTTAGTTTTTCTATTTGTTTTTTTTGTTGCACTGGTTCTTTAGTATTTACAAGATTAAGATTTTATTATTTTCCTGTGAGTTATGACAGCCCGCACTTAGATAGTTAGTAAGATTAGATTGTTGAATGTCTTATTTCTTACTCCTACTAACTTATAGCTTTGAAAATTGAGATCATTCATTGGGATTTTCAAATGCAAAGAAAGTTTTCTTTTCTAAAGATGAAATTTAATCCCTATTTCTTAAGAGCAAAAATTCAGTTTCTTTCTCTTAACAATATGATCACGATTTCTATAATAAAAATATGAAGTTTTTGGATATATTTTATTCTTATCGGGTAAACCAATAACCTAACCGATAAGGATCGATAACAGATTAATCGATACCCGTTAACCGATATTTTATCGGTTCCATTATCGGTTTAGCATATTTATAAATCGATAACCGATATGCCGAACCGATAATATTCACAACGAACCGAACCGACCGATACCCACGCCTATATTCAAGTGCTTGATCTTACTCTGGCACTCTGGCGATGCTTCAAACAGTCTCATGATCATTATTATTTATCATTTACTTGTGGCCAAAAATGCAACGTGAATCTTTTTGATGTTCAAGCTAGTGCAAGTTTTTATCAAAGCCCATTTCCCCCCACTATGTTTTAGGAGTGCGAGAGTTAGAGCCCGTTTGGATATAATAATATTTTCACTTTTTTTTTTCCGAAAATTTTTCACTTTTTTTTCAAAATCAATGTTTGGCCATAAATTTCAAATTTTCATTTGAAGTTGAACTTTGAAATTTTTCGAAAATTTGAAAAACTCCAAAAAGTTATTTTTTCAAAATTTTCACTCAGATCACTTACAAAACGTCAAAAACAACCCAAAATTATAATCATGTCCAAACACAACTGTTATTTTCAAATACCATTTTCACTTGAAAAAAAATTTCACTTTTTTTTCCTGAAAATTTACCATTCCTATGTCCAAAAGCCCACTTAGCTAATAATGTTGAACATCTTCTTCATTTATATGTTACTACTAGTAATTATTGTCAGTTTAGAATATGAGTTAAAACCAAAATGAGTGAATGAAATATTGCTAACAATTTTTTTATGTTAGAACTTGAATTCTAACTTGAGTCTTACCTTCATGACCATCGTGAGGGGCGTAAGCACCTTATTTGAAGCGATGTCACGTGACCTTTTGGTTACATGACACATTATTTTTTCTATAAATTGACTACATCGAAATGTCATACTTATTACTCTGATTCATCAAAACGTTTGGTAGGTAGTTGAGCAAATTAGTTTTTTTTATTGGGTTTACCTATTCAGTATTTGATCTTTATATTAGAGCCCGATTATATCCGAATTTGCATCGTACAAAACATATTTAAAGGGGAGATTCTATCAATGCCACCACAACTCTATCTCGGTGGGCAAATCAGTTTGGTAAGTTCGTAACGGTAAAGTCCAGGTTTATTAGTCTTTGAATATTGCCACGTAAGCAAGTCAAACATCTCTCTTTGTTGATTACGTGGAAAATACGAAAAACAATTAATTGAAAAATAAATTAGGGGCTCAAACCTTGGTAGATCCGATGGCGTCTCCAATCGAGCTCCTGGTTATGTTCTGAATTTCTTTTTCTTTTTTGTTTTTTCATAATTTGCTGTTTTGATTATGGAACTTGTGATTCATTTATGCGCGAGGTTTGTCTCTTGTTTTCCTGCTTAACAATTTCGCTTCATCTTATGATTTTCATTCATACTTGTACTTAGGTTTTGAATTCTGGAATTGTTGGCTTGGTGATTCATTAAAATTAAGTTTTGTTCCTCACTATTATTTGTCAAATTAGAACATTCAATTTAGGGCTTTAAAAGAGATTAGGGCTTCATAGTTTCTCATACCAATGCCATGATTCCATATTGGTTAAAGACGCGAAAGATTTTTCGCCAATTTTACTTAAATAAAAATAATTCAGTCATTTATGAAACTAGATTAAAGTTCCAGAGAAGTGGCATTCCAGTGAAATGGGCGTGGGCCTTTTTTTTTTTTTTTTTAAAAGTCGAGGCAATTATTCCACAGAGTGCGGGAGTAGTTGCTAAATAGGTAGCTGTAACAACTCTCCGATAATGCACAAGATAAACTGATAGAAACAGCGTTTTTATATTAACTGCAGAAGAAAGGGGGTGAGAAGGTCAGATATGGAGAATGGGGATGACAAGAACAAACAACACTCATTTACATTGTTCGAGTCCATTATCCCGTATCCCACACAGGGGCGAATCCACATGGTTATAAGGGTGGTCACTTGACCTTCCTTCGTCAAAAAATTACATTGTGTATATAAGTACAATATTACGTTTTAGAGGTATATAACGCATATTGAACACCTTTTGTCGAGAATTATTTTCACTTCTTTTAAATTTGAACATCCTTGGGGAAATTCTTAGCTTTGCCACTGATCCCCCCACAATTTTCCAATCAGCCAAATTTTCCCTCCACCCTAGGCTCGTCATTCATGACAGTAAGTAACTAGTTATATGTGCATTTTTGCCTCTTTTTTCTCTTCAGTTAGAAAATGTTAACAATTCCCAGTGAGTCTAATCTTAGTGTGATGTACGTATAAGGATCACTTTTAGTTAACTGTTTTTTCCGAGTACTCTGTGGGGCTGTAGTTATAATATGAAAGTACAATGTCACACCTAGCAGGCCCATAATTTGCTGCTATGCATTAGGCAGTTGCTCTCTCAAGCCCAATACTTGCTTTGTACATGATTTTACTGCCTCCGATGCGCCCACGTTGTATGCACCCATCTCTTATTAGATCAAAAAGAAATCTGTGTCCATGCCATGTAACATTGGAATATGCAAAACCAACAACATTGCTGCGCTAATTTTAGAAAATGTAAACCTTCTAATATATAGTAATATGCAAAAACATGCCCTTTAGGATGTTTTGCTTCCCATAACTTCCTGAAATCTGTGTACCATGCCATGTGAAGGTACAAGGTAGTACCATATCATGTGAAAGTTGACATCCGAAAATCATTTCTACCATTGCTCAGTCATCTACCGTTATTATTGTTTAGCCCTTTCACACTAACCTTTCCTTATCCCTCATCCCTGTTTTAGGGATTTCGCTTTGCCTTTGATTTGCTTGCTTCTCTATTCTTCTTATTTTTGCTTTTGCGAGCATCATCGGAGGCATTGTCAATATGGCTAACCTCACCGCTGGTAAAATTCTATCCAGTAGCACCTTGTACCGAAAGGGTCAAGCCTCATTTAATATATACTACATCTCTTTGTGACAACAAGATTCCTGTTATCTCTTTGTGACAACAAGATACCTGTTTTCTCTTTGTGACAATAGAAAGTCTTGTATTCTCTTTGTGACAATAGGAAGTCCTGTTATCTCTTTGTAACAATAAGAAAGTCCTGTATTCTCTTTATGACAATGGAATTCCTGTTATCTCTATGTGACAATAGAATGTCATGTTGGGGTTGTTTTGATTATTTCACTTTTCGTACGAGTGTTGTGAATTTCTCAACTTAATGTATTTTCATTAAATGCTAAGGACAGTACAGACATTGGTAATGTTCTCAAAGCGAATTTTCCTTTGTTTCCAGGCTTCTTCTTTTCTTGCACTGAAGAATTTTTAGTATGCTTTGAACTAAGGATGCTTTGTAGTTTGTTATTTTTCTGAATAAACTCGAGGACCTTACTGCAAAGCATTCAATGCGATAAGGATTTTTATTTGTTGAGGTTATGAGGAGGATTCATGTAGTGCAGCTCATATTTTGAAAGACCCAATGGAATTTAGTTGTCTTTCATTGACAATGGACTCTGAATGAACAATAGGTGGACGAAGGAGGAAGCGCGGCGGTGGAGGAGGATGTGGCCGCAGAGCAGTGGTTGAGAACGGCAGAGCATCTTGTAAGTTGATAATACAGCAGCACCGTCAGCTTTCTCACATCAGAACTGTTCCTCAGCTTCTTGCCGGTGAAGTTTCCAGTGCCGTCAGCAAGACATGCACTGACCCCTTGCTCCCCTTATCATTCTCTTTCAGGTTCAAATTTTGTTCTCCTAATATTTGAGGCTAAATGTTCTAAATCTAAGGGAAAGCTTTTTTAAGCAGAAGAAATTGATAATTCTATCATCTTTTTTTGGTGCAAGGAATGCACATGGATGCTGGTAGCTTAAAAAAGGCAAGTATATGGCAAGAGGCATCACGTATTGTACATGAAGAAGGGTATCAGGCATTTTAGAATGGGAATTTGGTCACACTTTCTCAACGCTTCCATATTCCTCTGTCAGCTTCTATGCATTTTTGAACGCTACAATAATGTCGGTACAAACCTTCTGTGAATTCTATTATTTTAGAAAAATATTACTGAGCGCCAATAATTTCTGTAGCTTTTCTGTCTAAATTTCCTCTTGTTATATAGGCAAATAAAGGTGTTGTAGTTGATTTTGGGAGTTGAAAGCCAAGGAGAGAATATAGCTGCAGACTTTTGTATAGGACTTGTAGGCGGTGGATTATCTGGGATAACAGCTGCTTCTGTTACATACTCCTTGGATCATGTTAGTACGCGTGTTGCAGCTCAGGTGATTGGAATTCGGCTGGCATTTTCATTTGGATTGGCTAATAGTTTTGGTTTTGAAATATCTTTATTTGCTAATTAATGTATTTTTTAAATGGCGTGGAGACAAAGTCCAAAGGGGGGAAAAGGGGATCAAAAGAGCTACTTTTAATGGTGTGATAGGAGAAAGTTTTTGTTCAGTAATTGAAACAGTTATGATCTTGATAACATGAACCAAGTTTTTCGGTTTTTCTTTTTGTTATGTTCTAATTTGCCTTCATCTTTGTGATTTGTCTAATTAAACGTAGGAGTATTCTGCTGGATGTAAACATTTTTTTCCCAATATCAGATAAATCAAATGTTGCATCCTTAGCACTGAACAAAGATCCTGGGGGCCAATTACATTAATTAGATGGATGTGAACATTCTTTTAATCTGATGATTTCAGCCTCATCTTCCATTAAGACAAGAATTAGTCTAATCATTCCCTAGGTGACTCAGGGGAGGGGGTGGAGGCGTCGTGAATGGAATGTGGTCTGTTGGTCATTGAAGTTTGAGAAAAGCATTAAAGTCAAAAAATTTAGAAAGCAACAAATGGAGAACTTCAGTTTTCTATCAGTAGTACTGGGTTTCTTGTTCCATTTGTAAAGTGTAGCAAAATTTTAATTAAACCTGTAGCTAAAACAAATTCATTCTCTTAATTGGGTCATGGGCTTGGCACCACTAGTCTGAAACGATCCGTCATCCATAGTAGCGTTTGGACAACATTAAAGCAACAAATGGAAAAACAAGAAATGGCATGTAAAATAAAAAAGATGCAGCTGAATTGCCAGTACAATTCTGAGAGGAGACACAATAAGATCCATATTTACACAATAAGACATAAAGACTAGATTAATACTAAAACATATATAAAGAACAATCACATTTCTACTGCTATTAGACTAATAGTATGTATCATGTACTACGCCGTTGTGGTGGATAATGTTGAGGGTACCTACGGGAGGACATCTGAAGCTGAAACCGTGGAAGTATTGTTTCCCTTCGATCACATACTTGTTCGTATCTAAGGGTTACTTCATCTAATTTCCAACGCAGTATGTAGAGAAAGAAACACGCTGCAAACACAAACCAAGTGTACACACGCAGCTGGAAAACGTTAATAGCACTGTTCAATGATGCATCAACGAGCAAGAAGCTTATGACTCCGAAATCGGTGGCTGGCTGAACCATCGCTACATTGCAAAGCCAAGCCGCAGCACAAAATAATAAGGCAACCATCTGAGGAGTAGAAGTGAGTCTGAAACTTAATTCAAAAATTATAGTCCACACTGCTCCCAAGACAAATTCCATAAGCTTCTTCCTCTCATAAATCCACACTATTAACGTTGGCAATGTGCCCATGTCTACTCGCTCCTTCAATACTATATAAGCGATCAAAAGGCCTGGAGGGACGAGTAGATACATCAAACGTATCAGGGTATCAGAATAATACGTCTGAGGAGGAACAGCCACATCACTGAAAATCAAACCACAAAACCCCCATAAAAAGCAATGATCGAAATACATCCGAATGGAAGGTGAAGTTGGAGGTCTGTAAGCCAATATGTAGTAAAGGACAGCAAAGAGAATAAATGCAAAGATGTAGTATACGAAATCAACTAAGTATACTGATGGAGTAATGTGGTTGTCTAAAGAAAAATGATTGGCTGGTCCCGAGGATAAAAGATAAAATGGCACGGACACAACCAACAACTGTCCCAGAAAGATAGAAATTAGGACCTTGCCGACTCTGTCGAGTCTGAATCCGAAATAAATTGGATTATAAAGACTAAGCTGACTATTTTCTAACACTGGACGAAGAAGAAACACGTATGCGGAAGAGGTAAAAGCAGACAGAGACATGAAATAAGATATTGTGTATATGACATGAGTAATCGAAAATGCATGATGATGATGTAAGTGTGCGGAGCGTCTTAAAAACTCATGTGTAAATCGAGTACACAGTGCACTAAGTAAGTATGAGACAAAGAAAAAGATGATGGAGACAAATTCCATTGTTTTGGTGACTAAGGACAGTGATTTCAACGAATGTATAACTGATGTATGAGTCCAAAGAACAGAATGAGGAGCAATTCAACACGAACCAGCAACTTCTGATCAACGAATTAATTACATAAAAGGGACAGTGTAATTGAACACTTGCATAAGTCTAAATATGAAGAAGTACAAAAAGCAAAACAATGTAATTCAGATGCTGGAAAAGAGGGTGATGAAGCTTGAAGATAAAATGAAGGACCTGAAAAACTTGAGGGCAAAAAGTTAAGTTCTTAAAAGCGAGGATGAAATCTCAGAAACTCCCGACTGCCCTCCAAATGAATGATTTGCTCTGCCAAATCTTCAATTCCTTGGTTGAAATGCAGGATGGTGATTATGCATGTATTTTGAAGAAAGCAAGCTTAAATTCCTGATCTCTAAAACTATTACTATTTTTTTTGGCCTTGTTAGTTATAATGCTTTAGAGTTTCTAGCACTTGAATTCTGACATTAAGTATTGATGAATGTAGTTTTAATGTGATTGCTATTGCATAGAGTGGTATAAGTTGGTTCTATGTAGTAGGTTTTGGATTTACAATAGTATATATAATGGCACTGACTGAGAATATTGGCTTCTCCCTTCTCACTGACTTTTCCTCTCTTAAAAAAAAACGAATGTATTTAACTCTTTTACACAGGAAACATATAACTTTAACTAAATAAGTAAGGTTATAACTTGTAACTATTTACTTGGTGTGAAAGTTATCTCTATTGATTTTATTCTCAAACAACATCAGATTATTTTACCATAGCAAACAATGAAAAATGTACGTTGTAGTATTTTCCATTTATCACAGCCAAAAAAGCATGATATATAATCTGTAAAATATATTAATAATGTTAAAGAAAGAAAAGAATTAACATTGTTGCTGATATATATTATTAATATTATTAATTGAAGCACATGGCTTTCCTTGGGTTACAATACCAAAAGAAAACGACATGAACTAGAAATGATATTAATTGAGAAAATATGGGATATAAACTGTAAAATATATATTAATAATGTAAAAAAATAATAATAGTAATATTGTTACTGATATATCTGGTTGAGCATCTATTAGTGAAAACTTACAAGAAAAGAAAGTGTAGCGTGAAAGCAGGACCTATCAATTTCACCGGTAAAAAGTTTTCCACAGTTGATGTTTACATAATTGATGCATGACATATTGTATGACATATTTTGCAAGTTTATTCTTTATATTATTGGTACGTTATATCATGAAACGACGGTAAACGATATATTTTATCCAATATTATATTCATCAAACGATGCAATACAATACAATACAATTCGATACATTATGAAACGTTACGCAATAACTATCAAACAAGCGGTTAGGAAATCGAAAATTTACAGTTGGCCTTTCCAGTAGTAAACGTGCATTTATTTATTGAAAATAAACGTTCTCAAAGAATAAAATAATTGTGTTGTTCTAGAAAATAAATCTATCTAAAACTTATCAAAAAATAAATCTAACAAAAAATATAAATATTTAAAGCATCTAAAAACCTGAAAGTTTATAGAATGAGTTATATACAGTTAATTTTCACATGATTAAAGTTGATTGACACATCAACTTTATACAAATTAAAATGTTTCTTAAAAAAATTTACTTAAAAAGCTGTTTTATTTAATTGGTCAAATAGAGAATATCTGCAAGACTGCAACGCAATAACACAATATCTGCAAGACTGCAACGCAATAACACAGCGTATCTTTATCATCATTTCTAAAGACAACAACGTTAGTAGTATTATTCATTTATCACAGCAAAAAAATAAAAATAAAAAGAAAATAAAAAGAGAGAGAACTTACTTCGATGAAGTTAATGTACGTTGGATCAACAAGTAAAATACATTAAGAATATTTTTCCAATTTCTGATTGTGCAAGCAACCAATACAAAGAGGTCATAAGATGTTTTGCCTAATTAGAAACCTTCGAGAATAGTTTTGACTAGGGTGAACGTAAGTCGGGTTGATTCAGGTTTTCTAATTACCAAACCAAACCAATAAAATTCGGGTTTTTTAATCTCGATTTTTCTCGGATTTTTATGTTTTTCGGGGTTTTTCATATAATTTTCATGTTTTGTGCTCCAAATATTTCTTTAATTCTAGTAAGACATAATTATCTAAGGTATTTCCAAGAAACTAATATAAAATATGAGATCAGTCATGTCATTATACTAAAAATTCAACAATAAAGATAATAAAATCGCATAAAACAAATATTATTAATAAGCCACAATGAAAATAACATAATCTTAATTTACTAGTTGCTTAAATAAGTACGACTTATAAGTACTATTATTTACATGACGAAACACTAAAAAAAATATAATAAGTTGTGCATTTTATCTAAACCTTGGAAAAACTAAATAAATATATATATGTCATTCCTAGCAACTGCATTAAATGTCTTTTGTTAGCATTAATATTGATTTGATTTTGGTTTGGGATTTGTTTGAGTTACTAACATTTACGAACTATAAAACTTATTGGAGTATTCAAAAATTATAGTCCAATTCCTGAAATAATACGTTAAAAGATAAAATTATGAAAAAATTTAAGAAATATTTATAAACTACACTAGAATAAAATATATGTATTAAATATATTTAAAACTTCTATACATGTAATGTCGGGTTGGTTTGGCTTTGGTTTGACTTTTTTTATTTAAAACAAAACTAAATATGGTCGAGTTTTTTTTTTTCTAATACCAAACCAAATCAAAACAAATCATAGTCGGATTGTTTTTCTCGGTTTGACTCGGATTATCAGCTTGGTGCGGTTTGACGGTATGGTTCGGTCAGTTTAATTAGCTTTTACTTTTTAAATCTCATGTAAAAGGCAATAGTAAAAGCAGAAAAGTCAAACTTAATCAAAGTCGAAAAAAGAAACAGATAAATTTAGTTACTAACGAGATCATAAATTAAAAATCATAATGTAACCTTCTTGTATTTGGAGGGTTTTAGATAAGGTATTACGGCTACCTTGTTACGACTTCACTCCAGTCACTAGCCCTGCCTTCGGCATCCCCCTCCTTNATATAATACTACATCAAACAAATATCAAATAATCAAACTCTAAAATGAATAAAAAAGTCAAAGCTTAATAGATTAAACAATGACTATTATTTTTTTTGGTAAATAAAAGATT